CCAAACTCATCCTGGGAGGCCAGCATTACCTTGAATTCAAAACCAGACAAAGACCCCACTAAAAAGGAGAATTACAGACCAATATCCTTGATGAATATAGATGCAAAAATTCTCAAGATACTATCTAATCAAATCCAACAACATGTTAAAAGGATTCTTCACCCTGATCAAGTGGGATTTATTCCTGGGCTGTAGGGGTGGTTCAATATCCACAAATCAATCAATGTGATACACCACATTAGTAAAAGAAAGGACAAGAACCATATGATCCTCTCAATAGATGCAGAAAAAGCATTTGACAAAATACAGCATCTTTTCTTGATAAAAACCCTCAAGAAAGTAGAGATAGATGGAACATAACATCATTAAGGCCATATACAAAAGACCCACAGCTAATATCATCCTCAATGGGGAAAAACTGAGAGCTTTTCCCCTAAGGTCAGGAACACAACAGGGATGTCCATTCTCACCACTATTGTTCAACATAGTACTGGAAGTCCTTGCCTCAGCAATCAGATGGCTGGCTGGATGGCTCAGTCATTAAGCATCTGCCTTCAGCTCAGGTCATTATCCTGGGATCCTGGGATCAAGCCCCACATCGGGCTCCCTGCTCCAAGGGAAGCCTGCTTCTCCTTCTCCCACTCCCCCTGCTTGTATTCCCTCTCTCGCTGTCTCTCTGTCAAATAAATAAATAAGATCTTTAAAAAAAAAAGGAAAAAAAATCAATCCCATTTACAATTGCACCAAAAATTGTAGGAAAAATCTAGGAATAAACCCAACCAAAGAGGGAAAAGATCTGCACTCTGAAAACTATAGAACATTCATGAAAGAAATTGAGGAAGACACAAAGAAATGGAAAAACATTCCATGCTCATGGATCGGAATAACAAATATTGTTAAAATGTCTATCCTACCCAAAGCAATCTACACATTCAATGCAATCCCTATCAAAATACCATCATTTTTCACAGAGCTGGAACAAACAATTCTAAAATTTACATGGAACCAGAAAAGATCCCAAATAGCCAAAGTAATGTTGAAAAAGAAGACCAAAGATGGAGGCATCACAATCCCAGACTTCAAGCTGTATTACAAAGCTGTAATCATCAAGACAGTATGGTACTGGCACAAAACAGACACATAGATCAATGGAAGAGAATAGAGAGCCCAGAAATGGACCCACAACTCTATAGTCAGCCAATCTCCAACAAAGCAGGAAAGAATATCCAATGGAAAAAAAGACAGTGTCTTCAAAAAATGGTTTTGGGAAAACTGGACAGCAACATGAAAAAGAATGAAACTGGACCACTTTCTTATACCATACACAAAAATAACTTCAAAATGGAGGAAGACCTAAATGTGAGACAGGAAGCTATCAAAATCCTAAAGGAGACAACAGGCAGAAACCTCTTTGACTTTGGCCGTAGCAACTTCTTACTAGACACATCACCAGAAGCAAGGGAAACAAAGGCAAAAGTGAACTATTGGAACCCCAACAAGATAAAAAGTTTCTGCACAGTGAAAGAAATAATCAACAAAACTAAAGGCAACCGACAGAATGGGAAGAGATATTTGCAAATGACATATGTGATAAAGGGTTAGTATCCAAAATATATAAAGAACCCATCAAAATCAACACCCCCTAAATAAATAATCCAGTTAAGAAATGGGCAGAAGACATGAACAGACATTTCTCCAAAGAAGACATACAGATGGCTAACAGACACATGAAAAAATGTCAACATCACTAGCCATCAGGGAACTACAAATCAAAACCAGAATGAGATACCACCTCATACCTGTCAGAATGGCTAAAAATTAACAACTTAGAAAACAACAGATGTTGGCAAGGATGTGGAGGAAGGGGAACTCTTTGCACAGTTAGTGGAAATGTAAACTGGTGTAGCCACTCTGGAAAACAGTATGGAGGTTCTTCAAAAAGTTAAAAATAGAACTATCTTATGATCCATCAATTGTAGTACTAGGTATTTACCCAAAGGATACAAAAATGCTGATTTGAAGGGGCACATGCACCCTAACATAGCAGCAATGTCTGCAATAGCCAAACTGTGGAAAGAGCTGATATGGCCATTGACAGATGAATGTATAAAGAAGATGTGGTATGTATACACACACACACACACATATATACACACAATGGAATATTACTTAGCCATCAAAAAATGAAATCTTGCCATTTGCAACAACATGGATAGAACTAGAGTATATTATGCTAAGTGAAATAAGTCAGTCAGAGAAAGACAAAAAGCACATGATTTCACGCATATGTGGAATTTAAGGAACCAAACAGATGAACATAGGGGAAAGGAAGGAAAAATAAAATAAGATAAAAACAGAGAGGGAGGCAAACCATAATAGACTCTTAACTACAGGGAACAAACAGGTTGGTAACTTGAATTAAAAAAAAAGATCATGCACAGTACTGTTTTGTATCAAAAAAAAAAAAAAAGAAATAGTATATAAAGTTTCCAAATGCACAAACCTAGATAAGTCACAATTTGAACTGAATCTGACTCCCAAGTCTGTGATCTCTGTCTCATTTTACCAGGCTCTAGTCAAGGGCAAAAACATTTGAGAAAACAGTTGGCTAGAACATAAGACACAGACAGGATATGTGTGGCAATAAAACTTGACAAGGAGGTTGGAGCCAGGCCATGGAGGGGCTTGAACTGGGCACTGTGGAAGGGTTTCAGGGCCGTGGGGTAGTGAGTGTGAAGTAGTCAAATATGGAGGATGAAGGGAAAAGTTGTGAAAAGGCAGGGAGCAAGAGAAAGGAAGGAACATCTTATTTTATTTCACAACATTACCTGGATTTGATGGTATTGATGCTAGCAAGAGACTTCTGAGAATATGTAAATGTCTAATACTGGGCAATCTTTAGGAGAAGGAACAGGAAGCCTGAGTCGAGTTCTGTTAGATCTACCCTAGAGAGGAAGTCATGTGTGCTTTCTTTGCTGCCTCTCAGCATTGCGGTCTCAGAGAATGTCCTCTTGGTTACTACCAACCTACTTCACCAGGGTACTTCAAAACATTCAGCAATTTCTTTGATTTGCAGGGACCTTTTAGAGATTTTGCAGAGTCAGTCAAATTAAATCATGAGGACTTTTAGATCTGAGAGCTGGATGTAAATTTGGATGAAGAGGTTTCGTGTTTTTCTCTTTTATTAAAATTGACTTAGAATTGCAACTTTTAAAATCCAAATCTTGGACAGTTAATGATGGAAGGGATGCCTGTGATCTTCTGGTAATTTTTAAAGATGAAAAACTTGACTTCTAGGGAAGTTATGAGATTTGCCCAAGATGACACCAAACCTGCCTGGCTGACATTAACACTGACGTTGCCGTGTGCTGAAACCTGTGCTCTTTGTGCTACTCCACAGGCTGCTTCTGATTTTAAATAATGTGGCCACTCATGCTGGGACCAACCAGCTGGAGAGTAGTGGGGGCATTTATTTACCCAGGGGATTATGGTGATAGTGTAATATGCCCTTTGAAAGGCCCTCTTCCCGAACATTGCCTTAAGCACGAAGGTCACTAATTCAGCTGTCACAAACAGTTCACAGAGGGGAGAGAACCACAGACTCTCAAGCTCTCAAGTCATCCCAAGTCAACACCTCTGTCCATGTGCTCACCACTGAATTAAAATTGCCTCTGAGGTCCACCCACTGGCAGGCCTCAGAAAGACTCTCCCTTCTTCCTATGTAGCCTGTTGGTTTCAGCTTGGTATAAGGCTTGTGATTTGACTTAGAAGGGAAGTAGGGGATTCCTCATCCATGTGGGCAGTCTCAGTGGAATCCACTTGACTGCAGCCCCTAGTGTGCCAGGAGAGTGGGAAGCAGGGATTCCACACCCCAGGGTATGAAAACAAATCCCTCCCCATACCTTTGATCAGAATGTCTTGCCAAAATAATCTGTGAGAAGAGATGTTGTTCATGGCAAGAGTAATAGGTGGTGTTTTTTGGTTTTGGTTTTGGTTTTGATTTCCTTTTTTAGTGAGTAACACAAGCATGTGGTAAAAAAATTTAAAAATATGAAAAAGTAGACTGTGAAAAGTAAGTGTCCTTCCACTCCTGACCTTAGGCTTCCAATTCCATTTTCCAGAGGTAATATTTATGACCTGTTTTCTGAGTATTCCTTCAGATATAGTCAATGCCCATACATGCATTATTAATATTTTTTAACATGAATGGTGATATACTTTATATATGATTCTGCCTTTTTTTTTTTTTTGCACTTCATATATTTTGGAATTTGCTCCATATTGAACTGCTTTGTTCTTTTAACCATTAAATTACTATAGATATTTTATTTATCAGGCTTCTTTTCTTTATTATTTTACTTCTCTCTTGCTGTTGAGTACTCACTTGATTCAAGTTGTATTTTTCAAGTCATTAAACAAAAGAGAAAGAGACAACGTTAGAAATATATACACTCAAATCTACTGAACTCTGAATGATTAGAACAGTTTCTATTGCCCGTGTGACCTGCAAATAGTACAATCTTACTCCTGTGTTGCATGCAGTGAAAGAACAAGCAGCCAGGAAGCTTCCAGAATTCACTCTCAGTACATTCTAGGAGTTTGTGGCCATGATGGATTGATTGGTCCCAGCCTTCTTCATGAGGGGATCTCTATGACTGAATGGATTTCTTAAGATGGCTATTAAATGCTCCATTATCTAAAGTGGGAAAGTGGGGCTCAGAGAGCCAAAATAATATACCAGAGAAGAGTTTGGCAGAAATGGGGACAGATCTTAGATGTCCCCCATGACAGAGCAGAATACTCCTAATTTATCTTAGGAGATGTTATGGAAAAGCAAGGGGGCAGTAGAAAGTCTGGGTCTAATCTTTGTAGAAAACACGAAGTGTCTTGTCAAGTCATTCCTTCTATAGTCCTGCATTTTTGCTTCATAGGATATGACTTGTCAATTTCATTTGCTCACTTTTTTTTCCCCTAAAAATATATCCTTTTTCCTTCTTCAGGTGCCACCTCAGTATCCTCCAATTCAAAGTATCAGAGTACAATTTACCAGTAAGTATTGTTCAGTTGATTTATGTTTTTAAAAGAACCTTCCTTCTAGTCTCTTAATTTCTTTCAGAAAACAGAATCTCTCCCTACCCTTTGGGAAGCACGAAATCCTGCAATTGTTAGAGCCTGCATGCTGTTTTCATTAGGCACAAAGAAGGTGTATAAAGAAGACAAGGTTGTAATTAGTTACCAAATATGTGTTTGTCACTGTATTAATCACTTTATATGCCTCTCTTAATCCTTCCAGGAATCCTCTGAGTAGGAATTATTCTCATTTTTTAGGTAAGGAAACTAAGGCTTTACTTCTTACAAGGCTGTCTGACTGTATGACACATCATTTCCCACTAAATCGATTATAGGACAAGATTTTATCTTAATGAGAGTGGGGGGGGTCTCGGATATGAAGACAAGGTAATCCTCTAACTACCAGGATAGCGTTATTTGGATCCATGATTAATATTAGGACAATAACCAGTAGTTTCTATATGGATATTCATTTGTTTATTAAATTCTTCTGAGCCTGAAGGGAAGTATATCTTGCCTTCCATCAATGGCCCTCATTTTCAATTCAGACTATCCCCCCTGGGCCTGGCGCAAAGTAAGAATTAACTGAATTATGCCGAGTAGTGGAGACCTGTTGTTTCCTATAACTAAGGGACATGGGCCAAAATGGGGAATCTGAGATATGGTTGCTTGGCCATTCGGGATATTGTGAGGTAGAAATAAGAATTATTTAGTCTTTTTGCCTTACACTTGGAATGGCCTTATACGAAACTACCAAAGCCATTAATCTGTGTCCTCCGTCACCCCTCATATTTTTTTCTGTGGTAGCAACTCTTCCCAAGGCATTTTCCAGGAAAAACTAGTAATAAGGTAAAATGGAGAAGCAGGTCTGTGTTCTTAAGCTCTTCCACCTGCATCTTACTGAGCAGAACTGAGCCCACAGACATTCTGTGTATAACTGCATTATTAAGCTTAAGTGACTTCTAGCAAAGGCCAGTAATAAATGCTGTTGAGAAGTCCAGTCCCAAAGCATATGAAAAATTTGCATTTCATGGACAGGTGGAGAGAGGATTTAGAAGCATTAACAAGCTTTGTGTGAAGGTGGTGTGCAGGATCTGGGCAAGGGGCATTCCTGCTAACCTTCCCCTAGTCTCTCCATTGAAAAAGAAAGGAAGCACTGAAGTTACCAACCCCTCCTGGTTTTGAAAAATCAGGGAAACCTCGAAGTTCCATTTCCTGCCACTGGTCTGTTGTGACTACTGCCAATTGCTATAACCTCTTAGTTTTTGAATCCCAACCCCATCTGAAATTCTCTTGGCCTCTAGTATTATGCCTCTTCTTCCACTCCACAGGTGACGTAGACTCCAACCCTCATGTAGAAACACAATGTTCTCTTTCTTTCATTCTTTCCAAAATCTCTCCCTATCACTTTTTCTTAGATGAATTAGAAGGTTGTTGCCTTTCTGTGCTGTGCTAAGGAATCATTTTTTTCCTTCTTGCCCTCCCTTCCTTAGGGTGTGAGAATGAGAAGGGTTGCATCATCACATCCCCAAACAAAGATGAAACCATGAAGGTGCAAGACAACTCAATCATCATCAACTGTGATGGGTTTTATCTCATCTCCCTGAAGGGCTACTTCTCTGAGGAGCTCAGCCTCAGTCTTTATTACCGGAAGGGCCGGAAACCCCTCTTTTCCTTGAGCAAGGTCACATCTGTTGACTCCATTGGAGTGGCTTATCTGGCTTTCAAGGACAAAGTATACTTTAACGTGACCTCTCACAGTACCTCCTACAAAGACATTCAGGTGAATGGTGGGGAATTGATTCTCATTCATCAAAATCCTGGTGGATTCTGTGCCTACTGAGGACCCGAGGGCTGCACCTAAGTCAGGCACCCAGCATGAACACTGAACTGGGGTTGGACAAGCCTCTGATTCTTCCTTGGGAGTGGAGAAATTGTCCTAGCTTAGCTCCTAAAAATGGCCACACGGGATGTGACCAGAAGCAAATCCCCCAACTCAGGGATATTTAAAACTTATATTACATACCAATTAACTTTATTTATCCTCATGTCTTCTAAATCACCTACTCCTCATCCCTCATGGTTGCCTCAAGCCTACTAAGCACCTCTACAAGAATGAGAAAATAGGTGCCTCTTCCTTAAGGCACATTATTTCTATTGGTCAGGAAATTGTCATAATAAACTTTCTTTATTGAAAAAGACACTTGACTACCGTTTGCTGGAAATTTGACATCTGGCTTTGTCAAAATGAAGAGGACCAAGGAAGGGGCTATGAATCTGCCAAAGGTGGTGTGGACTAACCCTTGGCAGCCAAAACTGTCTCTCCAAGATGAAATTAGTTACTGTTTGTGTAGTGTCTAAATACCTCTCTCATTTGGTGGAGTTCAAAAGGAAGATCATCTTGAGAACAGCTGTCAGGACTTGAAGACAGCCAGCTAAGGAATACTTTGTGCTCTGGGCTTTTTTTTTCTTTACCACTTTGCTTGCTTTCCCAGCCTCCAATGTTCTTAATAGAAATTTCGCTTCAAAGAATCATCCTGGGGATGTGATGCTGTGAAAAATCTAAACAGTAATTTCAGGAAAACAGAGAGGTTTTTCTAAACCGGGAGAGTGAGATAATTTATTGTGAGGGTTATCTTTATGGCATGGGAGGGCAGTGAAACTGGACATCTCATGGTAAAAGTCAGTAAGAATTTAAATAGTCTGGGAAGGAAAACACATTCTTTGCCACTGCTAGGCAAAGCAACGCATGTGCGTTTTCCCTCTTATGCTGAGATACACATTCAGCCCTATTTCTTGTACATGTATACCACATTGCTAGCTTAAAAAATGAAGCAATTCTATTCTTGAATACAACTTTAGGCCAAGACACTGAGAAGTTATTATATGAAAAATAATATCTGTCTAGAAACACCATAAAATTGCATATGATCTAATACTGATAAGTGACTAGAATGATCAATAATCAGCAATACCAATAAGGAAAAAGATCCCTTTGTTTTTAGTTTAAATATCCCTCTTGATGCATCAGGCTTATGGCACTGTGGACAAATACCCAGATGATTTGTAAGTTCTCAAATTTTTGATAAATTTTTTTAATGGCAGCAAATGGTTTCCTCTCAGTTTAAATAGAGTGCATAACATAACATAGAATCTTTCTGGATGATTCTGTGTCATCACAGTGATTGTACTGTGCTGCAGTACAGTGATATCTCCAGGATCTCCAGAAAGGGGGAAGGCAGTTTGCCCCACACTAAATTACATTTGGATATTTTTCTATTTAACACAGTTTTCCAACTCCTCTTAAGTGTTTATTTATCTCCAACTATGTTCTTGTCCCTCTATTTTAATTTGTTATGGAAAGAAGGTAAACAAAGGTGCATCACGAAAAGAAGCTAAATAAGAGGAATTGTGCATAAGGTAAGAGTAACCAAGCTCTGAGTGGTTGCCAAGGCGCTCACATAATCATAATCATGATCATGATCATAATCATAGGTAAACATTAATGGAGGGTCTGCTGTGGACCAGGCATTGGGCTAGATGCTTTACATGTATTGTTCTGAGCAAGATATTCTGTGATATTTGTCTTGACTACTCAGAGGATTTAAATGTGTGTGTGTGTGTTTATTTGTTATTGACTATGGTCTGCAAAGTTGAAGCTACTCAATGGGTGATATCTAATAAGTAAATGTTTATGACTATAGATAATATTTAAGAAAATATATATTTACTTTTTAAAGTTTGGAATTTCTAACTATATTTCTCCTGAACATGCACATTCCTGGCCTCAGCATAGTTGTTCTGTGGGTTGTCTGTCTTTGTTGTCATGGTCCTTCTTCACAGATGCCCACTCCCTTTGGGTACACATAGTTTGCTCTTCCCATGCTGGCTTCTTTTGGCCACGCAGGGATTTTTTTGTCATGCACCAGCTTCACTCCCCTCCCCCCACTTCCACCCATCAAAATATGCATGTCCCCTTTAAGTCATTCCTCCAGAAAGATAATTAAACCTTCTCCAGGCACAACAAAGTTTTGTGGAAAGAGAACTGAATAAGAAGTCAAGAGATTGAAAATCTAATTTGATTCAGTCACTAACTAGCTAAGTGACCTTGGGCAAGTAATTTCCCATTTTTGGATTCTGCTTTCCTCTCTTGTTAAGTGACTGTTTTAGAATCTTATGTTCATAGTGCTAACTGTGAATGTTCATACTAAATGTCTAGGTACTGGTTGCTGTGAGTCAAGTTGTAGAGCCTTCTCTTACACTGTGTGGAATTTTTTTTCTTAGACAAACATCTTCCCTCAGCCTTAACAATTCCTTCAAAAGCAGTTCCAATTGTTACTTAGCAACTTTCTATTTAGGGGATGGCATAAAGGATTCTAATCTTGATCCAAATCATAATTTGTTCTTAAGCATACTGGGCAGGTCCCTTATTTTAAGTCATAATTTTGTAGTTAGTGCTTTTCTGGCTCTCAGGAAGTATTAATATTGATATTAATAATAAAGCTAATAATAATATCGATATTTACATAGAAACAAATAAAAGATTTCAGAATTCACTACTGGTTAAAATGCTAGAGTTTTTATTTATCCCCTCTTCCTTTCCTTGTTCTTTTTTTTTTAAAGATTTATTTATTTTTAGAGAAAGAGAGTGAACGAGCAGGGGCAGGGGGTAGTCGGGGGAAAGGGCAGAAGGAAAGAATCTCAAGCTGCTCCCCACCGAGCTCGGAGCCCATTGTGGGGCTTGATCTCATGACCCTGAGATCATGATGTGAGCCAGAATCAAGGGTTGGACACTTAACCACCTGAGCCACCCAGGACCTCTTCCTTTCCTTGCTCTGATCAGCTAATTCCCTGATGAGGGAAGGATGGGGCAAGTATTCTGGTGTCCTATCTGCCTCCAATTTCAGCCATCAGAACTATGTCCAGGGCATAGTCAGCCTGCCAAACTCCATCTCTGCTTTTGAAAAGACATTCACTAGAAGTCCTCAGAGCTCCTCCTCATGGTTCAAAAGACCAATTCAAATACAATTCTACTATGCACTATTCTTCTTTCCCTCAGGAATTCTTGCCTCATTTCTAAACGTGGGATGATCTCTCTGAGTATTATGTCCCCTTTCCTTAGTAGTAATTACATCCTAAACCTTACTCTCCTTATCTGTAAAGTGGGGGATAGTAATACATACCTTCTGGGTTATTGTGAATATGAAAGTACCTAGTATATTGCCTGAAACATGGTTGTTCTCAATACCTAATAATTATTAATTTACAGAAGTCACTCTACAAGGCAAAAAGTAAGTACCAAACGAATAAAAGAATTATGGAGATTTAGGATGGAGAGATCACTGAAGCATAATGGAAGAGCCTTATAGGATTGAGACTGGAAAAGAGATAAGGAGAACATAGCTGGAGAAAAACAGTATGTGCAAAGGCCTAGGGGTAGGAATTCTCATGGTGTTTTCTGAGGACAAAGAGCTACCATTGTGGATATGGCTCTCATTCACTTATTTCTTTATTTGAACATATTCTATTTTTCCAAGATAGGAATTTGTGTTTGGTCATGGTTGGAGATAGGATTAATGGGTAGTTTGAGGATAAATTATTGAAGGCATAAAGACAAAGCTAAGAATTTTGGATCATGTCCTACAAAGGGAAACACTGAAGGTTTATGAATAAGAAGAATTTATCATGGTTTGGGAAAAAGAGTAAGCTCTTGTCAATATCATTTTTCATTTTGACCCAATTCATATGAGTACCTTACTTTCTGTCAGTTAAACAAAAGCTTCAAATTACTTTTATTAGAAAAAAAATGAGAAAAAGAAACATATAAGAGCCACATTTTTAATACTTTTGGGAAAAGACATATAGAGAGCTTCTTATTAAACTCAAATTAAATGTTTAATAAAGGCTCCACTGGATGGTTTAAAAAATATTAAATATTTTCTAAAAAGTAGTATTTTAAGATATCAATCTGAGATGTTATGAGCACTAAAAAATAATCCCTGAGGATTTCAGTCACTCTTACACATTTATTTCTTTGTTTATGTCTTAAATATATCCTGTTTCTCAATTTAAATTTTTGGCAGCGCTTTGGAATTGCCTTTCATCTATCATCTATCATCTAATCTATCATCTATCTATCTATCTATTATCTATCTATCTATCTATCTATCTATCTATCTATCTATCATCTATCATCTATCTGTCTATCTATCTATCTATCTATCTATCTATCTATCTATCTATCTATCATCTATCTATCTATCATCTATCTATAAATAATTTTCTCTCCCTGGCAGTAGCCTCACTCACAGAGTATGTGGGTGTCTAGGAACCTCTCCCTAGTATCCCTAGTAACTAGCCATAGTGGCTGATAATCCATGATCCATGGGATCGAGACATGAAAGGATATTTAAAAGTAATTGTTACTTAGGAGAGCTGACACATGAAACCTTTTAATGTTTTACCACCACCATTCCCTCCCCTGTCCAACAGAAGTTGGTCAGATGGTTTGTTTCAATCTTGAGGGCATGGGATGTAAAGCCCTTCAGTTCTGACTGGTGCCCGGGGGACAATTAGGGTAGCATTCCATCCAAAATCAGGCAGGGAGTTGACATAGGAAGAGGTTGCTAAGCAGGCAGGGTATTCTAGCATTCTGCCACAGTCCTTGAGAAATCTGAAGCCATTATGCATGGGGCACAGTTAAACATGGTCCTGATCAGCATTTTGATTGATGGAACTGGTTGACTTTGTTCATCTTTTTAGGGCCTATTTGTGAGATAAAACAGAGGGAGCTAAGAGCAGTGTGAGAATCAGTGGATTTCTTATATAACATCCCTTATATAATTAAAATATTCTAACCATTCATTCACAGATAATTGTTGAATTCCTACTATGTGTTACCATGTGCCTACTGTGTATGTACTAGAAATATAAATACAAATATAAAATAGTTTCTTTCCACTAAGTATTGAGTATAGTGTGTAGTATTAACTAGAGTGGGGAGAAGCTAGAAGCCAGGATATCAGGTAAGAAACTAAGTGTTGATGACTGTAAAGGAAAAAATGGATTTGAAAAATAACAAAAAATTAATCAGACCTACTGACTAGTAGGATGTCGGTGGTAGATAAAGGGAGAAATTAATTTGTTTGTTCATTAAAAATGTTGTTTTGAGAGTCAGGAAGAAATAAGAAACAACAAGCAAAAACAAGAAAAGAACA